TTACTATGATCAAATGTCATGTGAATCATATCAATGTCAATAAACAATCTATTGTGTCCATATTGTAACAGGCTCCATTTTGGAACAGCGGCTGGTAATTGAGTTCAGTTTCGTTTTAAGTGGTATCTTTTAATTTAGGAGTCAAATAAAGCTCAAGCCATGCCCAGATTGGTCTCCCTTGGGGGTTAATTCAAAGTTTCCAATGAACACCCTGACCTTTTCCTTTTGGTTTCCCTCCTCCCCTCTCCCAGGATTAACGAACACCTGACTGCAGTAAACACATTAACATAATTACATTTTGGTGGTATCACCTAATTGTGCACAATTTCTTTTGCTTGAAGCATGTGTTTTAGTATTCGTGGAAGTACAAGCTTCTATCTAAGTTCTGGGTTAAGTAATCCAGCGTTAGGGTTTCTTATGTGTTGCTGGTTTTAGTAATTTTGTGTTCCGGGTTTCAGTATTCCTGGTTTTAGTATTCCAGCATTCCAGTTTTAAGTAGTCTAATGTTCTGGTGTTCTGGTGTTCTGGCGTTCCACTGTTCCAGGTTTCAGTACTACACTGTACTAGCCCTACTTGAATGATATAGACAATGAAAGAACAACATTTCTTCAAATACAAGCTGATGTTGCAATGAAATTTTAGGCTTGTTAATTTAAGTGCAGTGTCAAATGCAATAAAAAGATGCTATTTCAACTCTCAGAATTTGCAGGTTTTGACATTTTGCAAAGTTCCAAGGAATTTAGGACTTCCAGTTGTTCTGTGCAATTAGCAGAGTTCATTCTGCTCAGATGCAGTTGGATGACAATGGAAATTATGTACACAATGCTTCTCATAATAAAATCAGAACAAGCCATAGGTTGTGGCTTGCTTTCTAATTCATTTAATTATTATTTTGTTTTGTTATTGATGCTGACCAAAATGATCATGGTCCCTTTGGGGATGAAGATGGGGTAAAAATATATTTATTTCCTTCCATTATATTCCAGGGTTTAGTTTCTGGCCTTCTAGAAGTCTTTGGCCTGTGTTTCTTCACAGTTGTTATCTTGGTGCAGACAGATATCCCACCTGATTTACGCATTATCATGATGAATGGAGTGTTTGTTTTTCCGGTACTTTGGCAAGTGTATAAAAAGGGACCTTGTCGTCAAGATCAGTATTCTTGGATACAATTTCTGGCGTTTACCCTGGCGCTGATCCTGGAGATAGCAGGAGTTGGAGTCCTGATGTATCTGGTGAGTGCATGTACATGTAGCTGTACTGTACATACTGTACGTGCTATTTATGCAACACTTTCGAGTGGTATACCACTGTGAAATAGTTCAAACAGTGACTTTGAATGTTTATTTCGTTTCTATTCGTTTAATCTGCTCTTTGTTAATTTCGAGTGATTTCCGGTCAACGGTCGTTTACTGTATTTTAGTCGTGTCATTGCTTACATTGCTACTCGGGAAAGTACTAAACATGTTTTTCGTTCCCACTCAAAAACTCGCTCAACATTACCGCCATGTTTGTAATGCTGTCGAACTGAAGTGAAATATAGTTGAGTTCCTGTCACTGTTGTATTTCCTGCTTCCCCACAACCATGGAATATCCTACTAGTCACTTGTATTTTCTCAGTATACACGCAAGCCTTTTGGCAAGTAAAGGCTTGTGTGTATTCCAAGAAAATATAAGTGATGAAAGAACAACAAAAAAAATAAATACTGTTAGTAACTATTTTATATCATGCCATAGAAAATACATTGGCCAAACAAACAATGCAACATACGCACAGCGCACAATGGGAAAGTTGGGTGTAATATCGTGGAATATACAGTGGCCTTCCTGTATTCTGATTGGCTGTATTTTCTGTGGCATGTTATAAATATTAGTGGGGGTGGGGGGACAGGTACATTTTGTATTTTTACTGGGAAGTAAGGGTGGAAGTGGACGTTCAGACTGCCTTACTTGCAAAAAATTATGAGTGATTTTAATTTCAGACAAAAAAGTGTCCGAAAATAAAACTATGTGAAATTTTTAAGTGTCCGAGATTTTAGGTGTCCGAAATATTTTCAGTAAAGTATAAAACTTTTAAATACAATGTAGCTCCAAAGCCACTAGTCTCCTTTATTGAGCGAACCAGGGCTTGACACTAATGGTAGCCAACTAGCCACAGACTGGTAGAAATTTAGTTTTGGCTAGTAGGTTTTGGATTTCCACTAGCCACTTTGGCTAGTAAACAAAATGAAATTGGCTGAACTGGTTTCTGTGTACCTCAGGGAAGACAAACACAAACACTTTTCTCAGAAACAAGGTGAGAACTTCATTGTGGATGTATCATGTTACCAGGCATGTGCTGTCCAGCACATGTGCAAATTTAAGTTTGTATACTTTTTGCTGTGTGGTACATTGTATGTATCGCGTAACTGAACATGTTATTATGTTGAAACTTAGAAATATTTGATAAACAAGACAGCTTTTTCTGAAAGCACACATTGATATTCTTTTTTGTTACAAAATTAGTAGTACAAATCATGAGCTTCCTGACAAGATCATGAGCAAAATCTTGTGGAACTGTAAAGGGATAACATTTCATTTAGCATAACGACACATGGGTGATTTGTCATTGTATGCATAGTGACAAAACTTACCACCACAGAAAAAATTAGATGAGAAAGATTTATTTCTTCAACATTTAAATCAGCGATTTTTGGCAGTCAAATTTCGCCAATGATGGTTTGCAGTATTGTTCAGATAGTTGGTTTGCTTTTGAAACATTTGTACAGCGCCTGTCTGTGAAGAAGTCTCAACAGTTTTTACAATAATGTCTCGGGGTCTTAATATTTTTCCAAGGAAGTCTCAAAGAAAAACAGAGTCCTGGGAGTCTTTTCGGGAAAGTCGCTAGATTTTTCTTTGTGATCTGTATGAAAGTGAGTCGCTTACGTTGTGCTTTGAAGTCTTGCTAGTAATTCTGCTGTTATTGGACCAAGCCAGCATCAATGCTTGGCCAGTGAAAAGAAATTTTGGCTAGTAACATCGAATTTGTCACTAGCCACTAGGCTACTAAGTTGAAAACTTAGTGTCGAGCCGTGGTGAACCCTAGTTGAGACAGCTTGAGATACGTAATGGTTCAAGTGATAGAATTTTCCTTATTTTCCAGTCAGTGTATCTGTAAAACCTTGGGGGTGCAGTAAAACTATCATTTTCACAGATGCTGTTTTAGTCTAAAACGTGTTTTGTGGCGGTAAATTTTACATTAGCTATGTTTCAGCGAAGTGTCCAAAATTTTTGTTCGAAATTTATCCAAAGTGAGATATAAAAAGTATCTGAAAATTAATTGTCTGAAATATGATGTCCAAAATGTCAACGTTTGGAATTTTTATTGCAAGTAATAAAGTATGCACCGTACATGCAGTTGATTGCTTTCAATCCCAAGTCATACTGTACGGTACATTTCTACTAGAATGGTTTGTTCCCCTTGTAAGAACTTTATCAAGTGACATGCCCCCCATCCATGTATATGTGCATATACATGCATATATGTTTGTTCTTACCTCCCTATATATAGACAATATACATGTAGGTGCATCACTCCCTTGAAAAACAGTGGCTTTCAGTAGTCTTGGATTGCATGTCATCAGGTCACAAGTTAGTGACAAGACTACAGTGATATCATGTCTGCTTATTTATTGTTACCATCAAATAAGCACAGTTGTTCTTACATGTACATGTACGTGCGTTATCCAGTTTGCCTTTTAAATTGTAATTTCAGGGCTGTGCTCTAGAAGCGCC